CCCCAAAACCCCAAAACCCCATGAGACCTATCTTATTAGAAAGTAGTGTAAAGTATAAATATAAATGAATTTAGAAGTTAAATCATCTTAGGTAGATCTTATTCTTGGGATCTTTAATTGTCTCGTTGACATCCTCGAGCATTCCTATTACTCTTGAGTTCTATTCTTCCATTTGAACTGATATATTAGATTCAAGCAAGGATATTTTATCTCTCTTAAGATCCTTGATATCATGCCTTAATTCAAGGTCGATACCAGTTGTTTTAGCATCAGTTTTTGCCTTTGTAGCTGCATCTTTTTATTTCGCTATAGTTTCATCATCTTTCTCAAACTCGTTAAGAAGTTCACTTAACTCTGGAATCTTCATTGCAAAGCCTTTAGTCTCGCTATCGCTATCTTCATCAGTTGGATAATCTACATCCTATGAGGCTCCCAATGGATATGGCATTTAAACATGCTCTTCAAATAGAGTTAACCCTAGTTAAGTTGTCTTTCTTTCTCTCCAGACATCTGATAAATTTGTGGGCATCTATTCAATTACTCTCACACCAAAATTCCCAGGTATATATTGAGTCTCTACATCGCAAGTTTTTACAAAGGAACCACCTAGGGACTTGTTCATGCTCATGATGTTAAATCCACCTCCACCGATATTATTTCTTAGCATTATCTCATCTCTTGGGTCTTATCTCTATCTGAAATAGCTGTTCAAATGATAATCTTGATCTATCTCAGTCTATCTTCTTTGTCCTACGTATTCTCTTAAGGTGGGATGAGATTTAACAATCAAGTCTATTGAATAATCAAATGGTTTTTAGAATGTTGATGGCATGTTTACTATTGCCCCAGAGGCAATATCCTTATAAGGTTTTTTAAGCAATTTTTGCTAATCAAATGCTTGAGCTTGAATTTTTTCAAGCTCTGGCTCACCTCTTCTTGATCTAATCAAACTTTCATACTCGCATCCAGGTCTGTGAATCTTATCAGCTTCAACTGGATCAAATTAGGACATCTAGGCCTAAGGAAACTTTTGATATTTCTAAATCTCAAACTCTTGTTATTCTAGAGTTTCATAAGGGACTAAGTCATCAAAAGAGATGGGAGGATTTGCTTCTACTTTTTCCATAAATGAGGATATATTTGTTTCATATTCAACTGGAAGTTTTTTCTATGCAAGCTAAATACTTTCTGTATTAAAGTTGAATGTGAATTTGATATTCTATATATTGTCTTCATTCTCCCCGTCAGTCATTCTAAGATTTAAAGCACTTTTCCAATCTTAAGCTACCATTTTTTTAGCATCCTCTCTATTTTTAACTCCTGCTTCCTGTAGTTTAACTCTAATTTTAACGAGTCTCTTCTCAGCTCTCATTCTTGTGATTAATTTATTGCAATTCTTCAGGAAAATAAAAACTAATCTTCTTCTCATAGCAAAATGATTGTTTTCAAAAGCATCCCACTTTGGTTTTTCTGTAATGTCAACATTTGTGTCAACTACGACTCTATCCTCATCGATTGTTGGTTGATATCTTTTGATATCTCTTTCTCTCATATTATACTTCTTATCGTCCTAAAAATATATTTAAAAATTTGAGAGAATACAATAAATTAAGATCTTTTATCTTTAATGCTTTTGCTTCTTTTGTCTGTAATTGGAGGGTCTCCAATACACTAGAAAAACTTAATTCCTTTTTCTCTTTCAAGGTCTTCTAATCTTCTGTAATCCTTAGTAAAATCTTATTCCTCCTTAGATAATTTTATATTCTTTAATGTTGGCATGCTTTACTCACTGCCCAATAATTTTTATGTACCTAACTAAGATGTTACATTCTTTGGTAGAGTGGACATCGATTACTCTTTGGTCTTTTCAGGTAGCTTATCAAGTTTAATTCCCGCTCTAGATGAGGGTCTATTTTCTCTCTTCCCAGTCAGTAAAGTTCTTGACTTTGTCTTTTTTACTGAATAGTCATCTTAATTTTCCTTTTTAGCTGATCCAGTCTCAATTTATTAAGTTTAGCCAACTTCAAATGCAGGTTTTTATGGAGTTTTTTAAGGAAGAGCATTTCCAACTATTCTACAGATCTTAGACTAAGAATCAAACTCAGTAGTTCTGAAAGAAATTTCTGCCTCAGCAGTTGTGAAAGTCGAAGGTGTAAATTGAACTTGAATCTAGGTATTAGCCATGCCCAAGATATCACCACTAACAGGATCTATGAAATTTAACAATGCAATGATTACATATCATGATATCTGGATGAGCCTTTAATACTTCAATGTCGTACTCAAAATTGACTGGACAGTTACTTTCAATATTAATTGTCTAAATAATTCATCGAATAAGTATTTTAATTTACCTGGGTATATGTCTCTCCTATCTTCAGATGCTTTCCCATTTCAATAAAATTTGGGAATATTTCATCCTTTTTGCTGTTGATTACTGGGAACGCATGAATAGGAATGAGGATCTTATCTCCATCACAATGAATCCTAATGCAGTCATAGTAGTATTTGTATTCATCATTTGGGGTAAATTAAACATATATCTCTTCTGCGATTCCAGCTGGCACCATACCTTTTTTGTTGTATTTTATCTTGAAATATTGGGTTTATGGAGGCAAAATATGCAGTCTTTGTGGAGCAGGTGAGTTATTGATTAATCTGACTTTCAAGGTGTGAGTTTTGAGTATTTCAAAACCTGCAAACTTAACTATTGAAGGACTTGCTCCGAAAATACCATTAGAGCCAACGGTATCAAAGGTGTCTATAAGCTTAAACTGGATCATGAATTACTTTTCTTGAGAAGAGCGTTAGTCTTATCAGTCTTTGTCTTCGCCAAGAGACGCCTTTGAACCTCAATAGTTTCTATTTGAGATCTATTTTAATAATCGTCTAACTCTTCTTGAGACATTTGAATGTTAATTATATTTAATCTTATTTTATTACTTTAAATTCTAGCTTTTATTTCTTAAGTCGGGGTTTTGGGGTTTTGGGGGGATGTCCCTCTGAATTGTGTAAAGTAATC